ACTACAAACTGGGTGACTTAAACAACAAAAATTTTTCACTTCACAGTTTTAGAGGCTAGACAACTGAAATCAAGATACTGGCAGGCTTGGTTCCTTCTGAAAGCTATGAGGGAATGTTTTGGATTGAATGTTTATGCTCCCTCCATTCATATGTGAATGTATTTGAACATAGGACTTGTAAGAAATGATAAAAGTCAAATGAGGTCATAAGGGCAGTGCCCTCATCCAAGAGGGCTGATTCCTCTTATAAGAAAAGGAAGAGATACCAGAACTCTCTCCCTGCACACACAAAGAAGAGGTCATATGAGCACACAGTGAAATGGCGACTGCCTACAAGCCAAGAGAAGCCTCAGAATGAAACCTGGTACTTTGATCTTGGACTTTATAGCCTCCAAAATAGTGACAAATAAATTTCTGTTGTTTAAGCAATCAATGTTATGACATTTTGTTATGGCAGCCTGAGCAGACTACTACACGGAAAGTTCTGTTCCAGATTTCTCTCCTTGGCTTGAAGATGATGATCTTCTTCTCCACTTGGTATTCTTTCTATATGTGTGTCTCTCTGAAGATTGTCTTTTCTTTTTCTTTTTTTTTTTTCCGATATCATACTGGCTTAGAGCCCATTCTGATGACTTTATACTAACTTGATTGACTGTGTTAAGACTCTATCTTCAAATAAAGTCATAGTCTGAGGAGCTAGGAGTTAGGATTTCAACATATGAATTTGGGGGAGACATAGTTCAACCCATGGCATAATCTTGTCTCTTACTGGTGTCTGCTTCTTGAAGAACTTGAAATGACAACTGATGGTTTGGGTTTTGGCAATGGGGGATGAAGATGAGAGAGATGTCAGATAAAAGTATTTTTATATATATGTATTCATTGAGTTGGATTTCTTGATAAATCATAGACAACTAAAATTGTGGCTCACTAATTTTTTATTTGTATTATGTTGGTAATGGTAAAGTAATTAGTTTCAAAGTCATTCTTGGTCACTATTTTACTTTTTTGCCAAAAATAGCCAAGACTAAAAAATGTTTTATCAGTAGTTGTACATTTTGTTATTAAGAATTACTCTGCTTTATCATTATGTCTTCAGATAGGAGAGTGTATGTATATAAAATACCCAGTAAATAATATATCCCTCAGTTTAGTTTTGAATGTGCTATAGAAGAAATTCAGGAATTAAGGAAATTAAGGAATATTGCTTACATCTTTCCATACTTAATAACACCCTACAGGCTTTCATTTAAAAGAAAACAAAACGAGTAAAACCAGATGGGTACAGCAAGTTATACTGATCAGTTTTCTCTCTCTCATAGAGTAGTAGAATGAAATGGAGTTTTATTCTGTTGTGTTTATTTTATGTGGCCTCATACATTTTTACATAAAATTTTATCAGGCTTACTTTAGCAGTTCAGTTTTATTTTTGTACTGTAGCTTTTACATGCTATTTAAACAGAAATAATTCTTACCAACCTGAGTATAATGGAACATTGGGGAATCTGCAACTATATTAGACAGCTATTTGAATGATAACTTGATTATTATCTAGAATGGATCTGATCAAGATCATTTACCTGTGCATGCCATGTGATGAGTCAGTATCATTCAATATAATCAATCATATAGCTATTTTCTTCTGTCCTTTTAATCTTCCATATTTTCCTCTACAGATTTATCAAGTCCCTATTTTTTTGTTAAGAGCCAACAAAATTTGTTTTCGTACTGCAATATGCATTTACTATGTCTAATAGAAAAGTGTCATATCTATAATTATATGTGTAATTGTCATCACCCATAGACAAGATTGTGTGTCATGAACTTAATTAAAACATTCATTTGTGAGAAAAGAACTATAACTGTTAAAATTGTGTGATTTTTAAAGCCCCCTTACACTTTTGCTTAAAAAATAAGGCACATTGCCTATTAAAAAATAAAAGTAGCCTTTTTATTTAAACTTTCAGTATACTTCTTTATGCATATTGTATTTTATGTTTAATATTTATTACTTTAACTAGATGGTTCAGCTACTTTGAATCAGCTCAGTAATTTGGAAGCTTTACTGATGTTTTTGACCTTTCCTGAGAAAAATCACTGCATATGGATATATTTGATGTTTTTATACCCATGTTGCTGTCACAGTCATGTAGCCATCAGTGCCTAGATCTTTGGACTTAGGGGATACTTTTTTTTTTTTTTTAGAAATTGCATTTCAACTTTAAATTCTATTTAACAGCACACAGTTATGAATTAGTAACATTTACTAAAATGCTAACTTCATTTAAATTGAACTGCATTCCCCCACTTATTTGGTGCCCAACAATGTACCTTCTGTATATATGAAATAGGTTCTTGTTTTTAAAGAGCTTGCATTCATGTTTGGAAGACAGCATTTATATAAATGATTAAAGGAGAGTGCAAGCTAGAATAAATAACAAAGTGCTCACACTGATGCAAACATTGACACTATACAAAGATAGAGAAAATAGCATTGCTAGCCAGATTAGCCATTCCCTGAAAGTTTGGGAATTCATTGAAGAGAGGATGAAGACCTTGGGAGTGGAGAAGAATGTCAGCTGAGATAAAATTGCAAAAGTCCTTAAGGTCTATGTTTGTATCCTTTTCTTTTTTAAGACTTGCCGGGGTATCCTGTGACTGGCAATGACTAGGTTATTGGCATATTGACTACTTGATATATAGTATATAACCCGGGAGGATCTTGTTTTTTCCAAAAATGATTCACATGACATTAATTTCTTCTTTGTTCACTGAAAATGCGAGAATGTTTGGAAAGCCATATATGGTGTAAAACCTTGAGTGAAAGCCTGGCAAAAGGGAAGAGGAGAAATTCTAACTCTGAATATCCTTAACTTAGACTGCCAAGTGGCTTCGCTCACTCTTGTGTATTCACTTTTTTAAACCAAAGGAATGCTTGAAGATGTTATTCAGTTACGTGGTTCAAAAGGACTAATGGTGAACTATAATCCCCTGGACCTTTTTATTCCTACTTCCAGGGTCAGTATTTTTATGTCCTTAGTTTTTCTGTGAATTACTTTCAGAAGTCTAAATCACAGGTTGGTACACTATGGCCCATCAGCCAGATCTGGTTCACTGACCTATTTTTTTAAGACCTAGGAACCAAGATTTTTTTTTTTTTTTTTTTTACATTTTTGAAGGGTTGTAAGAAAATCAAACTAAAAACAAAAAATTAAGGCGAATATGTGGCAAGAGACCATATGTGATCTTTAGAGTCTGTAATATTTACTATTTGATCCTTTGCAGAAAAAGTTTAGATTTCTGATCTACATAGGGTGTGAGTATGTGTGAATGTGCACAAACATGCACACATATATGTACTTGTTAATGTAACAACCTAAACATTTAAGTTCTCACTATATAAAGACTAGCTTATACTTCTTAGTGCCATTTTTTTTTTTTAAGTCTTAACATTAGTATTAACTCTTACATTTGTAGTTTTAAATACTATAACCTCTTGTTTACTGTTCGGCGCCTTTGGGTAGGTATATAGATAGATCTATAGGCAGTGAGTAGTGGAAGCTTACTTGGTTTTTATCTATGCTTAGTGTAATTTTCTAAATTTTCACCACTGAGACCAGGTACTTTACACTCAGAAGCTAGCACAATGCCTGATGCTTACTAAAACTCAAATATCTCTTGAGCATGTGTTTATATGTATCTTGTGTATTATATGTATGTATGTGTAGGACAGTTTGTCTCCCAGGGGGATCCCCACAGTCACATATGTAGAAACTTTAGCTCTTTACAGTTGGCCCTGTAGTCGTGGTTTTTATTATCACACTTGTTACATCAAATAAAGTGACCCAGAAACATTTAAGTAAACTTTTATGTTGTTACTTACTGAAATATCTTATATTTTGTTCCTAATCTCCCACAGACATTTGTGTAAAATACATTTTCTTGCGTGTGGATTTGAGGTTATTTCATTGGAGGTAACTTAGGCATTAATTGTAGGGTCAGATTTGGAGCACTGAGCTAGAATATGATTTCACTCAGACCCTGAATAAATATTTAAAGAGCATCTTAATCAGACACTGCTACAAAGTAGTAGTAATACAGTGGTGAACAAGACATGCAAGTTCCACTCATGGAACTTAGTGGGAGAGAGGCAAATCAACACTCAAATAACCATATACATAAGCAAATATAAATGCAAATTGAGGTAAATAATTTGAAGAAAAAAAGTTATTTGAGAGAAAAGCATAGAGTATGATTCTAAGTCAGAGAGACTTTGTTATGTATTCAAATAATGATTAATGTTTAGCACCCTAAAATATTTTCATTTCTCTAGAGCAGTGGTTCTGAAACTTTAGCAATGCATCATACTGACAAGAAGTGTTTGTTAAAACACGGGTTTCTGGGCCCCAAGTTCAGCGTTTGTCATTTACTAGGTCTGAGTGGGCATGAAGATTTGCATTTCTAATAAATTCCTAGATGATTGTGATTCTGCTTAGTTCCTTCTCCTTGGAAACTCTGATTTAATTATGTGGAAATAAGGACTAATATACCAAGGGTGATTCTGACATGTAGCCAGGTTTGTAAGCTACTTAGGGCAGAATTTGAACATGTATATACATAATAGTTTCTTAGTGGGACAGAAAGTACCTAATCCTGCACAGTGGTAAGAAGGCATGGGTAAGGTAGGGGAAAGGCTGGAATAGAAGGCTTCAGTGAACGTATGGTTCCTTAAAGATTTATCTGTCCATACCATAAGCTGATAGAGAAGGGAGTAGGTCAGACAGAAGAAATGGTACACAACAAGTAGGATAGATTTTGTTTCATAAATAATCCTACATAGTAAATTGTTTACATTTCTGAAATGTAGTCATTCTGGTATTGAGTGCCTCTGATGTCAGCAACAGAGGGGTAATTTATTTTTAGTTTAAGTAAATATAAAGTAAGGATTATCTATGCCATATTCAAATAATTTTTATTTATCAATATGTTCTATTTAATAGGATGAGAAGAAGAAACCGAAAGACGAGGAGATATGGAGTTTTGGACACTAACATAGAAAACATGGAGTTGACACCTTTAGAACAAGATGATGAGGATGATGATAACACTTTGTTTGATGCCAATCATCCTCGAAGGTAAGTAAAGTGTTGGGCAGTTTCATTCCATGAATTAGGGAGGCAAGTCCTTGATAAGTAAATAAAGTAGAAAAAATACAGTATTTCATTTAGCAGTTTTTATCCTAACAGATTTTATTCGGTTCTATTTAATGAAGTTCTTTGTGCTACCCAACCAATAGCTCACATGCATATTGCTTTGCTAAAATAGGTATAAATAATAGAATACCATTCCAAAAAGAAATCTGTATTATAGTTCTCCTTGCAGAGCTTTGTCCTTTTAACTGCTACATACTGACAAGTAATATGTAGTAAGTTTTTATGTGTGTGTGAGAGAGAGAAATATTAGTAAAATTGATTTTCTTTTTGCATTCTGAAGATATTTTGATTTTAGTCTGTGCTCCTCTATTTGTAAATCATGCTTTCACTCAAAATTGTGGGACCGATGGTCTGCTAGTATAGCTGTGTTATCTATTCTCAGATCTGTTCTTGCTGAATGTTAAGACCCTTCCTAAGGGATTTGTATAAGCAAAATTACATGGTTATAGATTTAGTTTCAAAGCAAATGGGATAAGGAAAGGAGGTAATAAAGATTCCACTTAGTAGGGAAAGGCATGTTGAAATAGAGGGGAGACTATTTGGCTAAAGGAAAACTAGAGTCCACAATCAGGTACAACAAATACCATGAGTACAGAAATCTTGGCTTTTTATACATGCAAGGTTGGGAGGATCAGCTCTGGCAGAACATAGGGATCTGCAAGGTTTTTTGTTTGTTGGTTGGTTGGTTGGTTTTTGAGGGAAATATGTAGAATTTTACAATCTGTTAAAGAGTTTGGTATTACACTGATGTTATTGGAGAACCATTTGTGTTGTTTGTGTGGAGAGTATCTAATGAGATAATCAGATTTGTGTTGTGGAATAATACTTCTTGTATTAGTGGGAAAGTTGGCCTAGAAGAGATGAAGGATGAGAGGGACAGACCAGGGAATGTAGGAGGCACATAAAGAAGGGAATGATTTCCATGAGATTAAATTACCTGTAGTTATCTTTTATTTTGCAGCCTGCCTCATCACAGACCTTTCTCCAATACTTATCCCTCTCTTATGCCCCACTTTTCATGAATTATGTGTTCTATTAGGGAGCTAGACATTAATCAGAGTTACTTAATAAACAGAATAAGCATAGGGTGATATGAGAACTTGTAGTGGGGACATAGAACAAATAATCAAAAACTAATGGTCCATAAACACCTCTTGGACATGATATGTTAATTGAGACCTTAAATGAGTAGAAATTAGCAAAATTAAAAGTGGATATAGGGGTGGGGGTTGGAGAGAGAACAGCAGGCAACAAAGTACCAGAAGCAAAAGAGAGTGTAGAATATTCAAGGAACTAAAAGAAGTTAAATAGATGCTATATTAATATCTGTGAGAATAAATGAATGAGGGAATGAATAATTTTTGAGCTTTGAATGCAAAAATAAGAGTGATGGGTAAGGCAGGACAAAGAATCAAAAGGCAGATCATGATCCACGGCAGTCAGTGAGAAGTCACTCAACAGATTATGAAAAGCCACTTGGAAAATTTTAAGACAAGGAAACATAATCAAAGTTGTGTTTTGAAGATTACATAGATTGGAGAAAAGCAAGATAAGGAGTAAGGTAATCAGGAAGACCAGTTAGATGGTATAAGTACATGGGGTGGCCAACACCAGAGTGATAGCAAGAGAAATAGAAAGTAGTAAATTATTAAAGAAACTTTGAAAGATATTATGAACAAAATTTAGGAATTTTGTTTGGAGGGTAAAGGAGAGAGAAATGGTTATAATAATGGAGAAGCATGTTTCGGGGGTAATGATAATTATCAATGATATCAATGATAATGGCATCATCTTCAGATTTTTAGTAGTATGACCCCATATACTTAAAAAAAAAAGACTTAGAACTTTAATATAGATATGTTTAGTTAAAGTAAGAACAGCAAATAAACAGTGCTTACCTATTCATTCATTCATTCATTCATTCATTCACTCACTCATCCAAGAAATGAATGATGGAGCAGCTATTTATATAGCAACTGTTGAATGTCTGGCATTGATCTGGCCACTTGGGATACACTACAGCCACAAAACAGAAAAGAAAAAGAAAAACATCCTGACTTTGTGAAGCTTAACTTCTAGTTGTGAAAAGGTGAGATTGAGAAGTTGACAATTTTCATTTTCACTTGTCCCTCTATATCCTCCTATGTTGATTTTTTTTCTCAAAGATCACATATTTGTACATTACTTTAGAAAAAATTTGCCTTTTGTTTGGGAATAATTTCAGAGCTTCAGAATAGTTATAAGAATAAAAATAGTACAGAGAATATCCTATTATTCTTAAATCTAGATTTACTGACATTTTACTTCATTTGTTCTCTTGTGTGCTTTTTTCCTATCTTATAGATACAGAAGAATGCATATTCCTCATTTTATATTTACCTAATGTTCTCATGTTTCCTTATAATTAGATTCAAGTTATGCATTCTTACCTGAAATACTGTATGGATCATGACATGTCTTTCTCAGGGTATCCTATCTGGAGACACACAGTGCCCTTCTTTCTTATCAGTAGTAATTTTGATGCACCTGCTTAAGGTTTTGCCCCATTTCTTTAGTATGTTACTATTTTTTCCCCATTGCAACTAATAAGACATTTTAAAATCATGAAAATATTCTGCTTTTATCAAAATTTTCCCCTAAGTTTAGCAGTCATTAGTCTTGATTCTTGCCTGATCTAATCTTCACTGTGATAGTTGCAAAATAATAATTTTCCAGCTTCAACATTTCCTCCATATTTACCAATCAGCATTGATATTGTAGTATAAGCAAGAGCTCCCCCTCATTCCTTCTGTATTCATTTATCTAACTATTGACAGGTATGGAGTCATGATTTTTCTCCTTTTTCATTGCTGTCCTTGCCAGAGAGAGCCTCTTCAAGCTGGCTTCTGTGTCCTTGTTACTTGCTTCCATTTTTTTTTTTTAAGATTTTATTTATTTATTTGAGAGAGAGAGAATGAGAGAGAGCACGAGAGGGAAGAGGGTCAGAGGGAGAAGCAGACTCCCTGCTGAGCAGGGAGCCCGATGCGGGACTCGATCCCGGGACTCCAGGATCATGACCTGAACCGAAGGCAGTCGCTTAACCAACTGAGCCACCCAGGCGCCCAACTTCCATTTTTTTTTTTTTTTTTTAAAGCAGTTCCTCACATTCTGGCCTAGCACGATGTTCCAGGTTCATTTTTACCTACCCTGCCCTAGTGATGGAATTAGCCATTTCTCCAAAGAGGCTTGGTTTCTTTGAGTGGGCACTAAGTGAGCTCTTTGTTACTAAGGTGTGTCCTTACTTCTTGGCCCCTTCAGCAGACAGGTCTATGAAATGTATGTGTACATGTACACACACGCATGCCCATATACATGCATATTCACATATATATGCATACTTTACATAGTATTTCTTCAGACCTCCCATTCTACCTTGCTGGTCTATTGCCACTGTGTTCTTTCTTGCCTTCTTCCTTTTCCATAGTTGCATTCTCTTTGTTCCATCATGAGAATGACTTCCAACAATCTTCTGGATCCCAACATCAGCATTTACTTATTTATTCAATTCTGTAATAAAACTAATACAGTTTCAGAATCACTTTGCCTATGGCACTAAAATAAACAAGCCTTCTAGGAAGGTTTAGGATTTGTTAGTTTTCTCCTCACAATACCATCTTGCCCAAGACTGAGATTATATTATTAGATATGTAAGTGATTCGGCCTTGATTCCTCCTCCCTCTTCAGTGTGTTTATCATAATTATTTGAAATGTAATTGAAGTCATTGGAACTTGCTTTCTTTTTTAGATTTTTTCCTACCCTTCCCATTGTCATTGTCATTTTTAATATGAAATATACTAACATGCTTCCAAAATTAAAAACTATACACTTTTTTTTGAATATTATACACACACATACACTCAAAGAAGTATCATTCCCTCTTGTATTCTTTCCTCTCCATTCTCACCACCTCACCCCTTGTAGGTAGTCACTTTCATTATTTATCTGGTTTATCTTCCCTGTGGATCTTTGGATAAAAGTTGGCAGAAATATGTATTTCTTAACACTTTTCTTTCTTACACAAGAGGTAACATACAATATATGTTCTTTTATATTTTTTTGTTGCTCTTTGTAATATCTCCTGTAAGTCATGCTGTATAAGTTCATAGAGATATTTTTCATTTTTAACAGCTGCATAGTATCCCATGGTGTGTAGGTACCTTCATTTATTCAGTGCATTGCCTACACTTTGACATGTAGGTAGTTTTCAAATTATACTTCAATGAATAACCTTGTGCATATGTATTTTTGTATTGTTGCAGGTGCATTTTCAGGGTAAATTTCTAGAACTGGGATTATATAGGTCAAAAGGTGTGAAATCAGTTTCAACCATGAAATTGAGAGGTGACTATGAGGCATCCCAGTAGACATAGCAAATTGCATGGATTCATTTTTTTTTCATTAAAAACAGTGATAAACTGCCTGCCATTTGTCCCCAAATACTCTACTAAGCTATGGGGATATGGTGGTGAACAAAATTGGGCAAAATGCCCATCCCCATTTTAGTTAACAATCTAGTATATGCACATAGGCCAGAAATACAGAACAAAGACATTTTGGCAAGAGTTGGGATTCCCCTTTACTGGTTTTTCACTTTGCCAAAATCAGGGGTAATGTTCTTCTCTAGGGCAGACCTACTTTTGTCTCTTTTAAAATGAAGCAATAAGATGGATATTTCAGTACACTGAGAAGCAAGTTTTTCTGTGTTCTCCTTTTTATTTTTCTTCACCCAGTATTAAACATCATTTAAATGGCACCTACACTGATTCTAGACCTCTGCTTTGATTTTTTTCATAGTCTGCATTTGCAGACCCGTTTTTCTGACTCTTACTTAGGGGAAGGTATATACATTTCTTTTCTGTGACAGTCTTATTGTAGAAAACAGTCAT